TGAGAGCTATAATCTCCAACTATTCAAATGTAATGTCAATCGACATCTCCAGTTACCTTGATCTACCCACTATCCTTCTCCTCATCCTTTCTTCTATCACTCTTATCTGCTCTTGCTCCAAATCTTCTGCAACCCCCAGCATTCTAGTGGATTCTCTCTGAATTTCTGGGATCAGGAAGTTAACATTACTTACAGTTGGACTAATGTCCTCAACTTTGTCGTTGTGCTTCGCGGCCTTCTTCAGGTGTTTGCCGATCTGGTTAGGGGAATATCGATTTAAACCTATATAGGTAGATTGTTAGCATTCCATATCTAGAGATATCTAGGGTTTTTTTTTGTTTTCTTTTCAGTACAGTTTAGTTACAGTCGGGGTCTGTACTACCCAGTGCAGGAATTGAACTCACAATCACTATTCCACCTAATTCATGAACCAACATCTGAATCCTCTCGAGCAGTGTTTTTTTCAACCATTTTCATCTCACAGCACACTTGAAGCTATAGTTAAACTTCCGCTGGCACTTCAACGTAGTGTAATGGTTAACGAACTTGTCTCGTTAGATCAATTACGACTGAATAGTGAATTTGATCCTCACTGGGTACCTCATACTTTCGGCTATGTCCTAGATCTAAGCTACGCCTAACACATCGAGGGAACTTCGACGTGGTGTAATGGTTAACAAGCTTGTCTCGCTAGATCAATTACGACTGAAGAGTGAGTTTGATCCTAACTCGGTGCTCCTTAATTTCGCCCTTGTGCCACAACTTAGCTTTCCTTTGTAAAACACTATAGTAAAACTTTCGCGTGCATTTCGACGTGGTGTAATGATTAACAACTTTGTCTCGCTAGCTAAATTACGAGTGAGTAGTGAGTTCGATCCTCATTGGGTGCTCCTTAATTTCGCCCTTGTGCCATAACTAAACTTTGCATAGTAAATCGCTCTATAACTTCCACGGTCCACTTAAATGATGATGATCAAAGAAACTGCAAACTTTTAGGATTTATTTATTGACAAAAAAAAAAATAATAAATAAATAAAAATAACGAAACAAGTTATAATTTGTAATAAAAAGATAATAATTAAAATTCTTAAAATTTTTTATATTTATCTATTTTTCTGAGCTGAAGGCGATCAAGAGTTGTGAGTTCAATACCTGGTCACAGCAGAGGTAAACAAAGACTTGGAGAGTTGAGTTACTAAAGGGAATTAACTGAAACTGAGATATTCAGAAAAGGCATGGCACGTGGAATTAGAACAAACTACTTCTCTGGACGAAATAAAGTATTCGGTTCGAAATTCCAACGTATATCACCTGAAGAAGAGCCGAGCGTACAACGGCTGAAACGTAATGAATATTGCAATAAATTTGAACAAATGTAAATAGTGTAAGTAACAAAAAATATATTTACTTTTTTTTCTGGTCATGATTTAATATTTAATGAGACATCTGAGCTTGAGGTTTTTTCAATTTAGATTATCTTATTTGCATCTATAATCAATTTAAAGGAGGGGGTAGTTTTGATATGTACACTTATTGTGCTTTGGACTTTTTTCGAAAATAATTTAATTAAATGACCTTTTAAAATGTTCGCGGCACACTTACGATCCTCTGACAGCATACCAGTGTGCTGAAATTTCGTGGGCACATAATGAGGACAGAGGATTTGGAGAATTTGATACTCACAAGATATATCGTAGGCAAAATAGACAAGGGCCAACGATGTGGTAGTGATAGTAAAACGACATTGCTTTGAGCCGCAAGGAAATGGAGGCTGTGGAGAGCCATGATCGCGCATGTCATTCTTCTAATTCAGATTAAGTAAGAAAATTTGAGGGATAAAAGATCGAAGGAGTGGGAAGCGAAAATATTTTTTTTAAGAAATGGCAACTCATGAGTGGCGCACAAATCCAAAATGAAGGGGAGAAAATAATGATAAAATGCCAAAATTCAGTTCGACACAATCGAATCTCACAGGCGAGGTCCTGCCGCTGGTCGACAGCTGTCATTATACGCCCTCTTGCCATCTTCAATATCTGGTGACATTTGCATACTACCTCCAGTCAAAGGACAACAAATTTATCTACAATGAAATCCTAAATCCGTAGATAAAAATCTCGAAGTTCTGTTGTGCCTTGTTTATTCACAGAGCTAGACGTGTGACTAAAGATCGAGAAAGGAAAAGAAGTAATAAATATAGATAGATACTGAAAGAGTGAAGGATTTATATCGGGAGAAGATAGATAGATAGATAGATAGATATGAATACAGAAGGCCAAATAGATATAAATAAACTGAGATAGATAGATAGATAGATAGATAGATATGAATACAGAAGGCCAAATAGATATAAATAAACTGAGATAGATAGATAGATAGATAGATATGAATACAGAAGGCCAAATAGATATAAATAAACTGAGATAGATAGATAGATAGATATAAACAGACTGTGTAGATAGATATGAACTGACTGAGTAAATGCATAAATGATATGAACAGACTGAATAGATAGATATGAACTGACTGAGTAGATAGATATGAATAGACTGAGAAGATAGATAGTTATGAACACTGTGTAGATAGATATTAACAGAATGAATAAATAGGCAGATATGAACAAATCGAGATAGATAAACAGATATGAAAAGGTTTAGATAGATCTATAGATATTAACAGATTCAGATAGATAGATATGAACCGACTGTCTTCTCTTCTGGATTTAATGAATGTAAAAAATTTTAAAAGTCTTATCATTTACGAGCTCTTTCAACTAAACTGTTAGCCATATTCAAAGTTGTTTTTTTATTATTATAATACTATAATAATTCATGTGTCAGGGCCATTTCAAAGCTTCCTAAAATGATGAGTCTTTGGTTAAGTTTAGAGTGGATGTGACAGCCGGAAAAATGGATGATTGCAAAAAAAAAAAAAAAAAAAAAAAACGGTAAGAAAGAGTTATTCCCCCTTTTACGTTTTTTTAGTTTATAAGCATTATTATATCTGTGATATAATAACACCGTAGCTCACGGCAAGGACGGAACAGTGCGACTGAAATGAAGAAGAATAACAATCATGTTTTGTTCTCAGAGAGTCTTTTATAATACACAACTATATACATATATACACGTGTCCCACGCAAAGAAGAATATATCACATATCTAAAAAGCAAAGCAAAGTATAAGGAAGAACAAAAAGTAAAGGTCTTATATATAATATGGAGATACTCTTGACCCGGGGAAGCCATTTTTAGGACTCCAGATTCAAACGGGTCGAATTCATCGTGAAGCGGCCGTCATGTGACCCACGTGCCTTATCGCCATCAAAGGGAAAAGGCGCCTTTTGTATACTTACACAATGAAACAAAAACAATTTATTTCAAATACCTTCGGTAGTCGAATAAAAATCTACACCAAATAAAATAATTTTCTGCAAAGAAGAATTATTTTCGGTTTTATTTATTAAAAAAAAAATTCAGCAACAAACTAACAGGTTAAATCGTCTGCTTATATACTTGCTCCTATGTGCGCATGCGTCTGTACATGTTGGAGTGCGAATGCGTGTATGTATCATTAAGAAATCAACAAGACTAATGATGAAAGAAAGTATTTTTTTACACAGCACATGTATATTTTTCAACGTGAACTCCTTTCTTGTTAATGCACTTAATCAAACTTTACAGAGTGCGATGGATAAATTGTCGCCATTTTATATTTTTATCTTGCCGACTGCACTGTATAGTAGGGTCAGTTGGGCACCGTCTGTGAGAAAAAGAGCACCATGACGCAATTCATTCCGCGAGACATTTGGAAACGACATGCTGTATTGCTTGGCATTCGATCCGGAAGCTTCAATATGAACATTTCAGAGTATTTTGGTATTAATCTAAGTGCAGAGGATTCGGAGAGAGTTGGATGAATCTAATCATGATTACGAAGGTACGGCAGCTCGTAAAACTAACTTTGATCGTTATGACGAAAAAGAACTCCCGAGTTTGTTGGTGAGGGCCTCAAACTGAACACGGAGGAGAACATCAAGTGCTGTCCTGGGTCAAGAGGGGAGCTTCTAAAAGACCCTAAGTGTGGCAACAGCACTCTGCACCATGCCCCACAAGCAGGCGAACCCAGACATAGCTGTCAGACAATTTCTGCGACCACATCACCCTTTACATCTGACCACCTAACTCCCCAGGCTGCACCTCTCTAGATTATTATGTATAGGGTGCAGTTGAGCGAGAGACCAACACAACTCTTTGTAACACCGAAAATGAACTGAAGGCAAGAGTTATGGCAGTATTCACCAACTTAAACAAGGAGACTACCCAGAAGAGTTGCAGTTGATTCCTAAGTCGTCTGGAGGCCGTGGTTGGCGATTTTATTGGATAAAATTTACTCTTTCGTATTTCAAGATATTTTTGTGTGTTTTTGGTAAATTTTTCCGTAATTTAGACGACAATTTATCAATCGTACCCTAGATTCCATTAATCACATATGCTAAACGTTAAAGAGCTTCAGCTAATAATTGCTTCAGGTTCCAGTTGACACGGTTGATGGTAGATTAAGAAACGAAAATGAAAGAACTCTTAGACAAGATAATAAAGGAAAGCAAGAAGAAAGGACTATTAACTTTTTTATATTAATATTCACCCAGAACAAGGCCCAAGAGACATTCAAGGCAGCGGGCTGCTAAAAGAGTTGTATGCTATGATCAAAAGAGGAGGTTTGATTGCTTTGTTTTTTTTTTACGGCTTATCAACCTCTGCATGTTATTTTAATGCTAGAAGATATTTTTAGACCGTAAAAAAAGTTTTGGAGATAATAATGATTTACTCAAACAAGTTCCACTAATTAACCTATAGGAAAGAGGAAGCGGTGTATTCTTACCTTTTCCAAGGGTATTTGTGCTTACGCGAATATAAAGAACCCGACTGGAATTCGCACTCGACTCTCCGATCTCCAATTCCGAACCGTTACCCATTACACCACTCGCACATCCATGCTTACAGCACTTCCCAAGCGGTCACCAATCTTGGTACTGACCAAGCTTGACCTTGTTTAACTTCAGTGATCGTACGAGAAGGGGTCTTTCGACGTGATATGTGCGTAAGACATACCAGACACTCATCCAAGCTTACATCACCTGGTATTCACAAGCGGTCACCCATCTAGGTACTGACCAGGCTCTACGTTGCCTAACTTCGGTGCTCGTATGAGAAGTGTTGTTTCAACGAGATATGGCTGTAAGCCATATTACACACACACACACACACACACACACACACACATATATCTAAGCTTACATCACCTGGTATTCAGAAGCGGTCACCCATCTAGGTACTGACCAGGCTCGACGTTGCTTAACTTCGGTGATCGTACGAGAAGGGTTGTTTTAGCGTTATATGACTGTATGCCATTAGAGGAGAAATCAGGAAGTGAAGATTATGAAGATGTGGAGGCTAAGTAATGATTGTCTCTTGATTCGGGAAAATAAAAATAAGAAGGAATCTTATACTTGCAATAAGAAACAGGTCAAATTTCAGGGATGTATAATGTGGAAAGAAAGTTTAGAGAACTAAACACTCACAGCGCATACTGAATGCAATAGAAGCAAGCAAGATCAGGCAGTAGTGCACTTAACGGTTTCCCGTGAATTGATGTCAGAACTGAGACAAATAGCCAGGCCCGGATTTAGATGAAGTGAAGGCCTAGGCTATTTTATTTGCGATGCCCCCCTCCAAATCCCCATTTCTAATGAGTAGAGAAAAATACAAGAGTATAAACAAACCTCTCATCTACGGACCCCTCATCAACAGACGTCGGATGTAACGGACAAAATCTGCAGGAAAATAAAAAAAAATCAGCAGAAAACACTTCCAAATTGTCAGCGATGTATTCAAAATTTTCGGGCTTAGCGGAACGAGTTGAATTAGTTCAAGTGGCCGCTTGGCGGCGATGGCGGGCTTTTCAATTGTAAACAAAGACGGAAAGTGCGATACATTAGCGCGTGCGTGAGAAATCTATTATTTTTGTTGTTTTGATTAATATATCTATATTAAGTATATATTTATTTATGCCATATATACATGTTTATAGTATTTACTGTTATGGTGAAACACACCTATTCTATAGTTAATAGACTCTCCCACCTAATATAAGTAGGAGTAGTAAGAGTAACGGGGCAGTCGGTCAGTCAGTGAGTCGATGACGGACGACAGTTAGTCGAATCCGAAAGTATCAGCGACCACAAGATTTCTCTGCGTAATACCTATTATATCAAGTTCCTAACGTTTTGTACGTCGAACCTATTTTAGGACCGACTTAGTACAAATACAAGCATCCACTGCGAAATCACTCCACAACATTTACATTATGATTATAACTAATGGTAGACACTATAGCAGTTTTATAACTCAAAAGTAATCCTTTCCCATCTACGGACAATCGACTTTAGCGGACCACACATTATCCCCCTATTAGACTGTTGATGAAAGGTTTGTCTGTATTAAATAATTTGGGTGAAACCGCGGATGATACTGGGTGTTTAAAATTATTGAAGGGTTATTTAGAGTCTGCAATGTGTTATGACAGTATGTGTAAGAAAGCTTTATAACAAAAATAATATACACCTTAGCTGGAGGCCCCCCTCCTAGATTTTGAGGAACTAGGCACTGTAAATAGCAGTTGTAAAGGTTATAAATTTATTTAGAGTGAGCAAAGGTAGGAAATTGTGGAGAGCCATTATCGCTTACGTTCTGAATGTAGTGCATGCGCATGCGCGATTCTGCGTCTCTCCATCGACCAATTCTCGTTAAAGACGTGAACTGGGAAGGCCAGTACGCGAAGCAACAGCAGTGGATGTAAGAATCGAACTGCCGAGACAAGTTTTTTTTTTGCGCGCGTAGCCCTTTAACATTTTATTAAATGTCTTTGGAAACATTTGGCCTTGTCAATGGCTGGCTTCCGTGTCGGATTACGTGCCGGGTCTGACGTTGGCTATCTGTCACTTGGCCGCCACTTTACCTGTTGTCCATCGTCGTACCCATGCTGCCTACTCGGTCACCTCACACTCTCATCTCCACAGCTGTTTCCGCACTGAGTGTCGTTTTCAGTTTTCAAAGATGAACTTGATTTATCACGCGAAACCCAAGACTTTTATTAGAGCCAAGGAAAACAACTACTGCTGCTGCTGCTGTTGACCTGATTAAATGACAACTTGTTGCCGACCCCTCTTTCTTTCTCCTTCTCTCCTTTTGTACAATGTCCGTTCATAACGTGAACGTATATGGTTCTCCACAGCCTTCTGTTTGCTCTCAAAAATACCTTCTCTTTTACGACTTTCATTTGCATAAACATGTACGTCTGTATAAGACGCACATTTTAACTCAAAATTTGATGTCAAAATGCTTGTGTCCTATACACCGAAGATATGAAAAATATATATATAAGTATATATATTATATACGCAATCCATATGTAAATAGATTTAAATAGATTTGTTCATTTTATTAAGAAACACTTTAAAGTATTAATGTGGGTGGGGATGGAATGACAAGATAGAGCAGGAAGGTTTTGCTACGACCCTTAATAGACGAAAGAAAATTCGGATGTTGCGCAAGAGAGCATGGGGATGGAGAATCCGCGGGGGAAAATGAAAAAGCAATATTAAGGATTTAGTCATTTAATAAATTACGTATTAGTAACATAAAGAATAGGGCCAGGAATGATATTTTTTTCTGATTTTAATACTAAATCCAATGATGAAAAGCCTGACTCAATTCCAAGCGATAGTGAGATCAATCCAAATGACATTCTCATCATAAAATTGGATCCAATGATGAAAAGCCTGGCTCGTTTCCAAGCGATAGTGAGATCAATCCAAATGACATTCTCATCATAAAATTGGATCCAATGATGAAAAGCCTGACTCGTTTCCAAGCGATAGTGAGATCAATCCAAATGACATTCTCATCATAAAATTGGATCCAATGATGAAAAGCCTGGCTCGTTTCCAAGCGATAGTGAGATCAATCCAAATGACATTCTCATCATAAAATTGGATCCAATGATGAAAAGCCTGGCTCGTTTCCAAGCGATAGTGAGATCAATCCAAATGACATTCTCATCATAAAATTGGATCCAATGATGAAAAGCCTGGCTCGTTTCCAAGCGATAGTGAGATCAATCCAAATGACATTCTCATCATAAAATTGGATCCAATGATGAAAAGACGGGGATCTATTTTGAGCGACGGTGAAATTAAGGAAGATGGCATTCTCTTTGATCGTAATATTGGAGGTTATGATGAAAGGCTTTACTCGTACCCAAGCGATAGTGAAATCAATAAAGATGATATTCTCATTGATCCTAATATTGGGTCCAGTGATAAAAAGTCCGACTCATTTCCAAGCGATAATGAAATCGATAAAGATCACATTCTTTTTTATCCTAATATTGGGTCCAGTGTTAAAAAGCCCGACTCGTTTCCAAGCGATAATGAAATCGATAAAGATGACATTCTCATTGATCATAATATTGGATCCAGTGCTAAAAAGCCCGACTCGTTTCCAAGCGATGGTGAAATCAATGAAGAAGGCATTCTCTTTGTTCGTAATATTGGATCTAATGATGAAAAGCTTGACTCATTTCCAAGCCATAGTGAAATCAATGAAGATGATATTCTCTTTGATCGCTATATTGGATCCAGTGATAAAAAGCCTGACTCGTTTCCAAGCCAGAGTGAAATCTATGAAAATGATATTCTCATAATAAAATTGGATCTAATGATGGATAGCCGGGGATCTATTTTAAGCGATAGTGAAATTAATGAAAGTGACTTTGATCGCAATATTGGATCTATGATGAAAAGCCTTGCTCTTTTCCAAATGATAGTGAAATCAATGAAGATGACATTCTATTTCATCGTAATTAATATAATGGAATATGCGTACACCTGTGTTCCCCCTCAGTGGAATATGATTGGCTGGTGTCCGTCATAAATACCGACGGACGTGTAGGTGAGTCGAGAGCCTTAATCTGAGAGCTAAGTCTATAACGACGCCCATTGGACTACGCCATTGATCTACACTTCTTACCTGCGACTACGACGCGTACCAGTCGATTACTGCTACCCTATTCTACTTGGTTATAGTAGCCAAAAGCACTTAGCTACTTCGTTCAAATATATCCCTTTCCGGGACATATCAGTAATATTGAATCGATTGATAAAAAGCTTGACTCATTTCCAAGACATAGTGAAAGCAACGAAGATCTTTTAGGTTTTGAACCGAACTAAAACACAGGAACCTTTTTTTTTTTTTAATTTTTGCTTTAATTTTGGGAGGCGATATTGTAACGTGTTTCCAAACACATTCAATTCACAAATTTTATTGTTCATCGACTGGGGCGTCGGTGAAGAAATTTTCGATGCCGAGTGAAGCCAGGGTTTTCGCATTGTTGTATTGGGTATTTGAATTAATTTATATCTGTGAAATGATAAAACCCGGGTACGTATGGGAAAATTATATCATTGCAGGTTTTTGAAAGATTATATACAGGTGGTGCCTGCATTTGGGATATGATAGATCATAGGGAAGACTCGGCTTGTGGGTTTTTATATTTCCATAAATGTATCCCTTCCAAAAAGCCAATCAATGTATTAAAGAGAAAAATCTCGTTAGAAGCAAAGAAAACTGAACTGTTTTGCAATATCAATCCTTCTATATGGTAGCGAATGCTGTACAATCTCCTCACAGAAGAAGAAGTAGACGCTTGAAGCAACAGAAATGTGGTTCTACAGAAGGATGCTGAGAATGCCATGGACTGAACATGTGAGCAACGACTTTGTTTTAGTGAAAATGAAAACAAAAAGGACACTTATACTTAACATCAGGAAGGGAGTTGAAAATTCTTGGGTAAATAATAAGTAAAGCCCGTTTACAAAATTTGATATTCACAGGACAGATTGAATGTAACGACCTTGAGTAAATGGATGGCGGAAGGTTTAGGAGAGATAACAAAAAGACAAATGAGCTACAAAAGAGAGGAAATAGTGGAGAGCCATGATCGTTCCGAATGAAGACGGCGCATTGAAGAAAAGAAAAGGAATCCTGGTTCGTAGTCAGCGATAATTTAATTAATTTTAAAACCTTTCTATCTCCACATTGTTCGCTGTGATCTGTTTGTTTAAATGTCTTTTTAGTGATTCAGTCTGATTTTTTCTTAATTTTGTACATTTTAGCCAGTCATCAAAGATTATCGTTTTGCGTTGCGATCTTGTCGATTGCGGATTAGTAGCTTTATCAGCGCCTCTGATGACAATGTTCCAGTTGTTGCGTATCTCTTTTGTGGCTTTTGAGTGCCGATAGATGCAACTCACATCCATGTATTTGTAGAGCCTTTCATGT